ATATTTTAACTAAATCTAAAACAGTCTGTTATCCACAATTTTAAAAGTAATTCAATACTAAGCAGGACACTTGAGGAATGCTAAAATCAAAACATTTTCATCTATTAAAAACAAAGTTATTAAATATTTCAAATACTGTATAAAAAGAATAAATTCAGCAAGCAACAGCAGGTGATGAGGCAATTAAAAAGTGATTTATACAATAAAATGATACTAACAATTTATGATGTACAGTTGTCATGTTTGACAGAGCATTTGGGTATCCAAGTATGTATTCCCTTGGCAACAATGGTGACATTAAATTAATGTGTCTGCAGGAAAATGAACATCACGTGGAAACCATGGTGACAACTATGATGGAATACTGTTTTTGATTATTTTAGTTCTTTAGTAATTTACCTTATGCATATTGTGGAATTTTTAATAATATCAATATCTATGTCTGGCAATGTGTTAAGTTACAGCTAACTGCCATTCAAATACATCACATCATATTACACCTAGTATATCATCAAATATTGCACATATCTGTCACATTCCTGGATAGTTGTAATATAATAACAATAATATCCTGTGTATCCAATGTACATTAATATGTTTGCCATTCCGTCATTTTTAATCTGATTATCAAACAATTAGATGTGCATGTATGATGTATGTCTAACTATGACATGTATATTTTAGGATGTTTGGTCAAGGCATGTAAGAGATATAAATTAAAACAAAATAGCCGACATTCAGCCATCTTGAATTGCATCATGAAACAAATGGACGTACATAAATCGTCCAAGATATGTGATGTACTTGTGAAGTTTGAATATTATCGGACTAGACATGTCTGAGATATAGGTGGAGATGCAAGGACAGACACTTGCATGCACAGAGGTCAAAGCATAAGTCATAGTTTTCAGACTGTGTCCAAATGGAGACTAATAAGGCAACATAAAAATAATACAATGACGATAAATGCAACTGAACATTTGTATCGCTGATAATGTCACTTAGGAATGTATGTGCTATTTCGATTACGGTAGATTACCATCTCCCAATAAGCCATAAACTGTAAGTTCACGCGTGACCATGATTCACACACATTAGCAGCCAATTGAGTCACTGTGTACTGCTGGTGAACCAGAGGACCATTGCAACATAATAATTCTCAAGTTTGCAACATTAATAATTATTTAATAATTCTGCAATATAATATCTAGTGTGATTATGGTCTATATATTCGCCTACATTTATTTTGTATGTTGATAATTTTTCAACTTATTTAGCTAATTTTTATGGTTTTTACTTTCATTGCTACCATATAAATAGTCTATGCAATGATTTTGGAATAATTTTTATGACAGTAATAAGTGTTGTTTTTATTAAATGTATGCATAACTTACATTTACGTGTTTACTCACACCTGCCATCAAATTATTGATTTTTTTGAAAACTAGTTTTTTTCACTAAATCTAAATGTCTCAATGTTTAATACAGTCTCTAACACTTTGAAACTCTACTTGAAACTCTAAGAGACTGTTAGTTCAAGGGGACAAGCTAAACACTTTGTGGCATATTTATTACGTAATTTGTCTTTTAGTGAAGTACCGGTAAGTTGTATCAAGAAAGAACGATAACATAAATTGGCTGTCAATTTCATACTTTTAGAGTTTCAAATGGTTAAATTCCAAAACAAAGTTCATTCATTAGGGATGAAATGAAAGACTTTCAAAACATATTCGATGGTATGAATAATCTATTAGACATTACCATTCAATCAGTACCCAGAATGCAAAGGAAAACAAGGAAAGACAGCTAATTCAAATTAAAAACATATAGAAGTCAAAATAAACAAAAGTGTTTAGAAAGCCAGTGAAGTTTAATAATTTATGGCACCTCCCACTGCCAATAGAGGAAGATGGAACAATCAGCACTGTATATAGACTGCAATCAACAAACCATTTGTCATACCAGTCTACAGGAATACATAAACACTACTAGGAAAACAAACTATGTATATACAACATATGTGCATGTAACCCATAAAAACGCGTATAAATTATAAAAGCTTGATAGATGTACATGTGTAAAACAAACACGTATAGCAGGATTGCCAACAATCAAGTAGCAAGGCATGTAAACATCTGTACATATCTGGGTTGTATAGCTCATTTTGTTTGTTTTGTTCGATTGTGATGTATTTCATAAATATGGTATCAGTCAACAAACACGTCAATGAAATCTAAGTGGGACTGCTACAGCCTGGTACCTTCCATGAGAGGGTAGTTACTACAAGAGGTACCTGTTCAAGGACTTCCCCATTTTAGTTTCAACTTTAACTTATACGAGCTCTACAATCTCTTATTGTCAGCTGGCAGTCATTTTATTTGACAAAGAGACCAGAGTGGAAAAAAAAGGACAACAGTTGACAAGAATGACAAAAAAAAATGGCAGTGTTTGTAGAATTGCATTATCCTATAAACTATGAAAATTTGGTAAAATCCTTTAATAATACTTATTAGAAAATTCTTGATAACTTACTGTAAAAATTTTGATGGTCCCAACTACTTCAAAACACATTGTCATGATACAAATCTAATATCATTAAAGCAACAATTAATTCTATTTCATCTACATTTGTTTATAGCCAAGTATTTAGCTGAGCAAGAGTTGACATAGAGGTAATAATGTTATCGTTAACCATCAGTTGACTGAGTCTGGGTAAATAAGCTGAACAGTACTTAGTGGTTGGCTTAGTAATAAATACTTAGGCAGACTAAATACATTGCGTACTTTAAAGATTAAGATAAAATAATCCATGATAAGATGTCAACTTTACTCAAGGCCAGTGTACCAATCAATCAGTCAATCAATCAATAAAATAAACAATTACAGTTGGTTCTACATATTGAATCCATTTATCTGATTTGGCTGAATACCAATAACGTCCCTCCCCTTCAACCCTCCTAGCACCTCCGCAGGACATTTTTATTATTTGTACACCTGTACTGAATACATATCAATAAATAAACACCACCATCCTTTGTCTGATTATATGCAAATATATATGCAAATTATTAAAATATAATGAACAAACAAAATTATGACACAGGCCCGGAAGTTTCTGGACAATTTGTTCTTTATAATCACTGCAAGCATGTTTTAACTTCAACTTTTATATTATCATAAAACTAAGTGCTTTAATTTTAATTTCTTGCTAAAAGTTAATTCGATATGATTTCTCTCAAAAAACAACAAGGTCACCAGTTTTAACTTTACTTTAATGGGTGAATTTTTTCCTAATTATAATTATCCTATAAATCCAGAAATATATTTAAACTGATTTAAATGACACTGGAAATGACGGAATTCTGTGACAAAAGTGGTATGCAAATCAGGAAATAAACAGATAAATGTGTATGTTGTAGCAATTTGTTGCCAAGATACACACAGATATATAAAAACAGGTTAGCAGAAATAAGTCAGTTACATCTAATATTCAAGAGATTGCATTTAACATAGCTATTCTTATCCATACATCCAATGTATCAGTAGAACAGACTAACATTAGTAAATGAATAATTAATATTCTGACAACATGATATGAATATATAAATTAGTTAATTAAAAGGCATAGATAAAGTCATTCCTATTTTGAACTACCATAACATGTAGGGACATGTCAATTGAACCTGATTAGTAAACGCAAATAATCAAAACTTCACATTTGTGTTAATGTTTGTACCTAGCATCAGATCAATGCTGATAGGTGTAAATCCAGATATAAATATGTAAGTCATTACCATGAACAGTGGTGAAGTGTTAATATCTAAACGACATGTTAATTGTGGAAATATAAAAACGTCAAAATGAAACAATCAAGAGTACAGGATCAAGTCAAATTATAATGCAGTGGACAATCTGACAACATCCAACATGTCGTAGCAATTAAATACAAAATGACCTCACAAAAATAAATTGCCTACAAGCTAGCTATATTCCATCTGGTTTGTCATCCGATTCATTTAATAGACACACCAAGCAGTATAAAATACTTTGTAGTTTACAGGGCCATGCACCCTCATTAAAATACAGTAATCACAGCCGATTGCTGCTAGGAATTTAGCATTTAATGTCACTTGCCTGGTTTTATGTTATCAAATAAGTTATTTTACAGCTGTATTTTATGGTCTGTAAAGTCTGGATGGACCATAACAAAACAAACTGTGTGATATGATGAAAGATGGTTTACATAAGACTGTAAATGTCTTTCATGTGTTTTATCAGACACTACTAAGCCTGCATGCAGATAAAGCACATTTTACGGTACACATAAACACTGCCCTCATGAGGCAATAACCTGAAAGGTCACTCTGGTCATTCAACTTTAGAAACTTTCAGTTTGTTTCATGGTCTCCTTAAGACTGCCCTCAACAATAGCAGAATTGTTTACCCTTGTTTTTATCTGCTGATATAAGATTGTTTTGAATTATTCCAAGTGGGGAGGATTCTCAGGGACCAAGTTACCTGCATCATTATTAAAGTAAATGCAATTTATTTTGTTCTAAATGCAAAAAGGTAATTGAACACATTGCAGAAAGATATTCAAAATATTTTACTTAATTTTAATTAAGCATACTTTTTAATATATGTAAATTACATGAATTATTAATTCAAACCAAATATATATAATAGCCATATTGCTTGAACCCCATAAATCTTTGCTTTATTTTAATTTAATATTAGGCTAACAAAGAAGACTGAACTTTTACAGCAGGATAAACTTGTTTACATCTTTCATACATGCAGTGACTGGTTGGCAAATTTATAAAAATGCCATTGTTCCCTGCTGCTGTTATCATAAATGCATGTATAAGTCCTGTACAGACACCACGGTCAGTAGACAATGAGAAACATGTGCTGAACTATGCACATATATGTGCATTTTTCAGACATAACCATTGTGGTTGGCTTGTAGGGTTTGGCAGAGCATGTAAATACTGACTTACCATCTTCATTTGTGTTTCAGCCCATGTTGCAAGGGATGCTTTCTCATCTTCTGCTGGTGGTTTATCAGGGTTCAATGTTACTTGGGATGAAACAAGAAACAAGCACTTTTCCTGGTCATAAACCAGTACTGATGAAGTTAAATTTGCAAGATGATAACCAAACTGGCGAAGAAAGGTACCTCTAACAAGCGCCTGAGTAATCAAGAACAGAAAACATTGTTTTAATAGAGGCAGAAGCACAAGTCTACATGTACATGTTTAAATGTCATTTAATTCATGAAAAAAAATAATGCTCACTTTTTCATGGTTACTATGGAAATGATAAAGAGCATATTTTGCCATGAAAATCTTTCATAGTTGCAACAATATAAATATTTATATATATATATATATATATATATATATATATATGGTAGGTGAGCTGATATATGTAACAGTATCGGGTGAATTCCCAATTTGCATTAGATATTTGCATATTATTTGCAACATACATTCATAGGGAAAATAAAATAAACAATTACTATGGTTGAGCTAGTCTATTCAGGCTCCAGAATAGTGCGAATAAAATGTGCAATGAAAATATGTGATGTGAGTGACACAAATGCTATAAAACTGAGTGACAGCTGGAACGTAGATATTGTACTTGATCTATTAATAGCGCACACGGGTGCGCGTCTGTAGTCCAAATATGTCATATTTTAATAATCCATAATAAATGCAAAGCTTCTATTAGAGAAGCGCTTCTAATGGAGCAAATTAATGCTACTATCTTGAATGGAACCTACCTCATCTTTTTTTGACAGCATAGCAGATTCCGAATGGTTATATTCCAGATGTTGATGCGCTTGTTGAAGAGATGGTAGTTTATACAAAGCATAATCCTCAGTTAGTGGCACTGTTTGGTGCCAATCATTGTATTGAATGGCACTATTGACGATAGATATAGCTTCACAACTTTCACAGATGTCTGCAAGCAAAATGTCATGCTAAATAAACAATGGAAATACCAGGTTTCTATAGCAACATTTATCAAGTATTTAAGAAGGATTCAACACTGATAAACTAGCCACTGCGTGATGAGAGTGAATTATCAACATCTTGTGCAGATCAATGTGAATTTTCAGGACTAGAAAACAAAGACATGCAAAAAAGTTCCATATGCTCATCACAGATATAATATGAAGTTATTAGTAAATCTGAAATATTAAACTGCTAATGTATGCATGCTAATAAAGTGAACACTGAGAATAATGCAGATTACTTTTATCTGTTTAATCATTGAATATCAGCATCTCTTGCTATTTACCATTAAGCTCAGTTATATCACAAATTACTAACAGATTTGTCAATGTACCTTCATTGTTAATTTGTGTTTCTTCAGGAAGATGATTTAAAAATACAGACAGTCTGGACCACAATGACTGAGAACTCTGTAAAAAAAAATAAAAATACAGTTACATGTCCTACGCACTTGTTTAGTGATCATTGGACATTGAAAGCTGTAACATTCACAGCACTTGATTGGCTGATTTACTTACTTGTGCACAGGTGTCAATGATATATGGGTTTGCTATCAACCAATCAGCAAAGACTTTAACAGATAACACAAGTCCTTGTTCAGAAAGCACTGAAACCAACTGTTTTAGAGTCTCTGTTTTTCTCTCCATTCTGTCAATTACACTGTCTGTGTCTTTATCATCATCTAAAGAACAAAGAAATATGACAATGTTTTATTAACAAACTTGATCACGTGTTGACAGAACTGGTTTGTCAGACTGGTTTGTAAACTGAAAAATAGTTATAACTGTGTAAAAAACAACTTACAATGACAATGTCTAGCAGAGAAATTCAGTTATTGAGACAATTTTTTGGAAGAGGCATTACCAGGTCAATACTTTTTTTGAGGAAGAAACTAAAACATTTATTTTTGTTCTCAATGTTGTCAATATGACTGCATTTACTGCATTTAATGAAGCTTTGAAATAATGATAGTCAATAATTTTTTCTCAAAATTACTGGAAACATGACATCAAACAAGAAACAAAGGCTCACAAATATATATGAACAAGTAACCTGACAACACAAATAGCTCGCTGTTTCAGCAGAGCCTTGAGTATCCCCCCCAATGCACAGAAGATCTAA